GTTGGCTCGTGGGGAGGACGAGAGTACCCGTGAAAACAGGGAAGTGACCAGTGGGAAGGAGTTCGGGAGGAGAAGGGTACTGGGAGTTGGGATGGCCGCGGCGATGAGGGCCGGTGACCCTTGTCAGGCTCCAGCTAACAGCACACCAGCCTGCTCCAGGCTGTTTCCTCGCTTTCTGATTCCCTGTTCCCTCATACTCTCCCAGTTCCTTGTTCAAATGTAGACATTCTGCAGCCTCTCCTGAAGTGTCATCTGGTTGGGTTTTTTATTGTCTAATTAGTACAGTTCAGGTTCTGTCACTCTCATCCCCTGCATAACTTGGTATGTTTAAATCTGCTGAAGGATCCTGAGCAGGTCGCTAAGCCTAATTTTTCAGAGGCTTTATAACTTACCTGAATCTGGGTGTTTCTGTGTGTGAAGGGAGGGGAGAGCAAAGAAACAAAAACCCACTTAAACAGCCAAGCAAAAAATAAGCAGACAAAACCCACCTTCTTGTATCTGTCAGTAACTTAATTAGCAATTTGGGTACTACAGCCTGTTCAGGAAACCGTTTTTAATTCTTTTGGGGGAAATACCTGTGTTGCCTTTTAGGTTTCAGGGGTTTAAGAAATGAGTCGAAACATTCTCTTTCGGCCCTCTTTTTTTTCCTCAAGATAGATAACATGGTCCTTTGCACACGTTTTTCCCCAGGAAGTCATGTCATGCAAAGAACGTTTCAGCCAAGCAGTTGTGGAGTGTCCTGGGTAACTCAAAATGGGGTTCTGCGACATCTTGCTAATGAGTCTAGGGAAGATAAATAGCGATTCTAAGCTGCTGCAGGAGCTTTTGTTCTGTAGCTGTAAGATTTATTTTTTTGATTTACAAGGAGAATGTTGCATGAACTATTAAAAAGATAATATTCCTTACTTAAACTCACTGTTTTGTTTTTTTAGATTCATCTGCATTTATCCAGCATATTTGAATAACAAGAAGACAATAGCAGAAGGAAGAAGGATACCTATAGACAAAGTAATTTTGTGGGTAGCAGGGGCATACAATGTTTTGTGATGCAGCAGTGTGTAGAGAGTTGGAAAATAAATCTCAGATGTTGGTATTTCCTATCCTCTATGGCAAGTGGCTTGATAACTGGAAATTGCAGTGTATCTGAAGATAAGCTAGTGTCAGCATGTGAATTTGGTAGAAGGGCACTGTGTTTAACAGTCTGCTTTCATGTAGGCAGCACTTTTGGCAAGTAGGGGAAGTAGTGAGAAACAATGCACTCAACCTCCTACATGAGTAGTTTGCCAAATTTGAAAGTGATGCAGAAAAGAATAGTTAGCTAATGATTGGGTTTTGGTGACTGGCTATATGCGCCTATATTCTGTGCTGTGTCCTCTGTGCTGCTGTCAAAGACAGAACTTAAAATGCACGTGGCACATAGACTTGGTAGTTGCTGTTCATCTGCCCAGAAATAATTTTTGACCATCTCACTTCTTTAGAGTATTCTTAACAAGTGGTACTGGGAATATAAAGGGCTTTTCTCACTGCTTGAGTTCTTTTGTCTGGTAATACTTAAAACTGAAATCTTTCTTGAACTTGCAAATTGTCAAAGATCTATCTATGGAGAGGAATCTGCCGCCCTGTGCCAAGAAAGTGTCTATTGATTTCTCCTGTCCTTGCTGTGAGTTTGGTCTTGGTAATTCATGGCTTTTGACTCTTTTTAACAGGAAATACTATTCCATTTCAGTTACTTTTCTTAAACAATTCCTTTGCTTGGTCCCCTGTCCTAATTAGTTCTGTCTTGTCTGTTTCCTCTTGTACTGTCTTATGTTTTTTTTTCTTTTTTTTTTGACATTTTCTAGACCACAGGAGCTCTCACAGATGATTTCTACAGTAAATTTGTCATTATTTAAAGTACCTTCTCTTTCCCCTTCTGCTTTTGCTAATTATATAGTGTGAGAAACTGCTAACTATTGTTGTATGGGTAGTTCATAATTGGAAAAATAATCTGAAATACCGTGTCCAGTTCTGGGCCCCTCAGTTCAAGAAGGACAGGGAACTGCTTGAGAGAGTCCAGCGCAGAGCCACAGAGATGATGAAGGGAGTGGAACATCTCCCTTATGAGGAAAGGCTGAAGGAGCTGGATCTCTTTAGCTTGGAGAAGAGGAGGCTGAGGGGTGACCTCATTAATGTTTATAAATATGTCAAGGGGGGGTGTCAGGAGGACGGAGCCAGGCTCTTTTCAGTGATGTCCAATGACAGGACAAGGGGCAAGGGGTACAAGCTGGAGCACAGGAGGTTCCATAAAAACATTAAAAACCCTCTTTCTCTGTGAGGGTGACAGAGCCCTGGCACAGGCTGCCCAGGGAGGTTGTGGAGTCTCCTCTGGAGACATTCAAAACCCACCTGGATGTGTTCCTGTGTGACCTACTGTAGGTGGTCCTGCTTTGGTGGGGGGTTTGGACTAGATGATCTTTTGAGGTTCTGTCAAACCCCTAGCATTTTGTGATTCTGTCTGCGACAATTGTAACACGTTATTTTGACAGGCTGTTGAAAATCCCACATCTACGGAAATCCAAGATGTATGTGCAGCGGTTGGATTCAATGTGCTATTAGAGGTAATTTTTTTTAAAAAAAAAAGAACACATGAAAAACTGGAAACTTGTTTTGTCTCTGTTCTTTCATTTTATGTTCTGTTACAAGCCAACATAAATTACAATTTAGAAGATTTTGTTATCAGCCAAGATAATAAAAATTTGCTTGCTTTGAATAATAACTGACCTTAATGATGAAGTAAATGTTGGAAAACTGTATGCAAAGCAGGAATAACCTAGATCTCTGAGGCAAGGCAACAAAGTTTATAACAATACTACTTTTCTTTAACTATCCTTCTGGGAACACTGTCCTATAAGTTTCTCAGAATACAAACTAATTTTGCAAGCTACAACTCTACAGATTAACCTTCTAAAATGGTGTATTTTTGGTTAAAGGTGGTTACCTTTTGGAAGGCGTGTTACAGGAATAGGATTCTGGTGCTTGAAATCTTAAGAGTCCTTTGGAGTTATGTTTTAGCTGGAGAATATTATTGTTTTCTTTTACTGCAATACCTGATGGATTTTGTTCCTTTTTTTCTTAGAGAATGAAAATTTCTGGGTTTCTGCAGCAGTAACTTCACAATTCGTTTTCTGAAGTAATCATTCATTTAATGATTATTAACTTTTCTAAGAAGAATTTGGGTCTCATATAAGAGCATGACTGGTATCCAAAAACCAGTACAAAGTCACTTTGCTTTTCAGAAGAAGTCAAATATGTTCCTGTTAGTGCACGCCAGCCTGTGAAATAGCCAGTGCCAGTAAGAAACCTGTAATGTTTTAAAAAAAATGGAGGCTATGAGTATCCAAAAGCAGCAGCCATAAGACTCTGACCTATAACTTACTGTCCCTTACTGTCCAGGAGGGTTTGTGGCTGTGGAGATGAAACAAAAACCTGTGTTGCTGCAGTCCAGGCTGGTGGGGAAGTAGAACAATCTCTGTAGCAGGTTACCTGGTAAATTGTTCAGTACCAGTGACTGGTTTTAGCAGTGCTTCTGGAAAAGCTAAGCTGTAGCTCTGGATACTGTTGCTGTGGCTGAATGGTGGATGATGGTGTTGGAGAGCTATGATCAATGTTTACGTCTACTCAGAATTCCAGCCTGCTGTAACTCAGATCAGTTGCCTGACAACCTTTGCAGAAAATTATTCCCATTCTTACTATAACAAGTTTCTTCTGTATGACAGAAAAATAAGATGTATCCTAGAGAGTGGAACAGAGATGTGCAGTACAGAGGTAGAGTACGAGTCCAGCTCAAGCAAGATGATGGCAACCCATGTTTACCTCAGTTTCCAACACGTGAGTAGACTTATAGACTTACCTGGGCTAGGCACTTTATCTGTTAATAAAACAGCTTGTTTAACTAAGTTTTTCTATTGTGATTTTTTTTTTTTTTTTTACAGCTTTGGATTAAGTCTCTTTGCCTGTATAAGTCAAATTGAGTTGGTGTATGAGCACTGAGTGTAGTTTGTAAAATGTTGTCTTTGTTCGCACTGTCTCTTTAGTGGTTGCATTGAAGGGGATTGTGGGAAGTGTTGTGTGATTGCTGTATTGAACAAGGAAGATGTTTAGTTTTGACTTACTGTTTTGTTGACAGTTAAAACAGAGGATTTGGTACTAAAATGTCTGAATTCCACGATTTTCTTAGATTGCATGCATTAGTTAGGCATCAGTGTGGATCTAAATTCATAAAATACTGACTCCAGTTGAGTTTTCTATGGGCAATTCTGATAAATTAACAATGGAGCAACTCCCTTTCACTAATTAACAGGAGTAGTTCACCTTGAATCACAATTAATGTAGTCTTGTGTTTTCCCTGAAAATCAATCAATGTGTAAAAGGAAAGCACATATATAAAAAAAAAAAGTATATATATATGCGCTTATGTGCATATATATGTATGAAGTATATATATTAAGGAAAGAGCAAGGAGAATACTGAATTTAGAGTAGCATAAGAGTGCTGTTGGTGAGAAGCAGACAACTGGGAACCATATTTGAGCTGGAAGGTAGCAGTGGCTTTCTAAAAATGCTTGTAGTTTTTACCTAATCAATCTGTCCCACTTATTTTAGGCCAATAATATGTGAATGGAAAGAGTAACAGGAAGGATCCAAGTACTTCAGAGATTTTCGGACTATGATATTTATTAGTCTTGCACTTTTTTAATATGGAAAAAAAAAAGTTGAGGCGAGTTTTTCACAAACTTCTGGCTGCACAGAGGAAGGAAGCAGAACTCCTAGGCTTTGTATCTAGTTTAACAGAAATCTAAAGTGAGGCTGAAGTTTCTAACTTGTGAAATTATGCAAGTGTTCTTAATGTAGTGGGTATGCATTGATCTCTCCCTGTATTTTTAGGTAAATCAGTGATGCTGTATGCTGCAGAAACCATTCCCAAACTCAAAACAAGAACCCAAAAGATGGGAGGTAGTGATCAAAGTCTTCAGCAAGGAGAGGGAGGCAAGAAAGGTAAAGGGAAGAAAAAGAAATGAGCTTGCATCTGGAGCATCGCATAGTTGTGCTTAGGACAAATATGGATGGACACATTATTTGCTGCAACTTTGAAGTGAAAGATACAAGCAAGAAATAAATGGGTGATGATGAATTGAACTGCCTGCTTTTTTCAGAACTTGAATGCATGTAGCTGCCTTGCCTCTGTGTAACAATACATCCGTCTTCACACACATCCTGCAAATCTGAAGCTAGCATCCTTTTTTAAAAGTGGAAGAACATAGGCAAATGGGGTGGGAGAATTAGTCTTTCCAGAAAAAATACGCATTTTTGATAAGTAAATAAGTAAATATTCTTATGCAGACTAGATATCTGAAAACTGGTTGCCTTAGTAAACCATTTATCTATGCGAGTGAAGTGATTGTGTCAATTCTAGAGCGTCTTTGTCACCAATAGAAAAACATGAATCAATGAAGTTCTAGCTCTGTAAACTTCCTTGGCTAGTAATCTTTCACACCTACCAAGTATACTAATAAAGGTGATGTTAATTTTACAAAATGTAATTGTATAGAATACTTTTTCCAAAAACATTAAATTTTCCTCCACAACCTGTTGTAAAGAAGTCGATGACATATATTGTAAGGATAATATTGTAAAGTTTTAAGATAATTTGAAAAATTAATAGCTCTGTCTTGTGTCTTGATTAACGTGGGATGCTGTATTATCCTATTTTAGGTTGTTGGAGAGCTTAGGAAATGTAGCTTTATTTTCTGCCTGTCAAATCCTATTTCAGATGCCTGAGGCTTGCAATATCTGTTTCAAAATGCATCTAGGCATTTAATAACTATTCTGAAGTAGTGAAACTTGGTAAGGTTCTTGAAGAATATCCCTCCTCAAATTACTTGTGTTTGTGGTTTGAGTTTTCTTATGTTCTTATTTCTTGTTCCTCTCAACTGCATCTTCTTCAAACAGATGGTAAGTTAACAGTGCTGGTTGAAGTCGATGCCGATAGGTACTGGTAGCACAACTGTGTAGAGCCCCTGACTGGTGACTGTTTCAAAGTCAGTTTTATTTCCTGTTGGTAACACTTTATAAGTGTGGCTCATGTTGCATTGTTTAATGAAAGAGGAGATTGCGTTGTCATTCTCACTGCAGTTATACCAAATCCAAAAGCTGCCAAGATAAAGTTCCTCATGCCAAACCCTGCACCAGTGTGAGAACAGCAGTATGCGGGGTTTCTAACATAGAAATGTCCTTTTGGAATGGATGGCCCTGAACACGTAACTCCTCCGTGGACCTGTTGTGGACTGATGAAGAAGCCATAAGAAAACCAAGGCCAGGTATATCTTTCCTGCCCTGCCTCTTGGGGAAACTGTCTGCAGGGCTCTCGAGGTCTTTCCTCATTTACAAAATTGAGATTGAGTTCCCTCCACGTCAAACCTCTTACATCAGCACAGGGTGAAATACAGTACATCTAAGAACTGCCTGAGGTGGTTTCCCTCAGGATGTCAGCAAGGACTGAACCAGAGTCTGAAGGGTCAAAACTGTGGGACTGAGCAAAAGTTTGATGCCCATAGGATTTTACACTGTTGTCCAAAACTTTATTGTGCCTGCAGCTGATCCTGATGCTGTCCATATGTTCCCAAATAGCTACTAAATGCCATTTCCTCCACCCAGAAGTTGAAATACTAATGGTTGGTTTCCAGCAAGCAGAAAAGTGGCTGTAACCTGAAAGCTAGGCTAAGGGAGAAGCACATCTCTGCGGAGGGAGAGCTGGTGCACAAGTACCATCAGCAAATTCCAGTGATTAACGATTTATGCTGGCTCTAGGATAGAAGCTGTCTTTTAGGATAAAATGGATGGCCTTGTCTACTTTGAACTCTTGCAGAGTCAGAATACCATGACAGCAGATTAGGTATTCCTAATAATTGAGCACAGAGCTTTGTCTCTTGCTGTGTAGTCCTGGCATTTTACCTGCAGAAATACATGCTTAGGGGTACTAGTATCACAGTGCAAGAAAATAAATGCATTAATGATTTTAATGGCGTATGTAAAACTGTAGCCCAAAACTCGTGTTGTTTGCACAAGGATAAGGAGAGAGTTTGGGTTTGGCTTACTCAAGTGGAGGAAGAGGGTTGCTGAAGTGGAAGAGTAATAGATGCGTGTGGCAGAATAGTTCAGCAGCACTGAGTCTTTCAGCAATGTTGATTCTGTTCTAGCAGCCTGTTAGCTCAAGGTGTTTGGAAAAATTACCATTCCCCCCCAGAATCTGCCAGCACATTTACCTGAGTGGATACCTCCAAAAAGATGGTCGTTATTTTATAGACCCTTTGAAGGTGGTTCCTGGTGGACTGCTTTATGTGTATCAAGACAGCAAGGGAGGAGGAACAGACTCTTCCCGCTGGAGCCATTTATTTATATCCTTTATCAAAGGATCCTGACATTTCACTGAATGTTGCCAAGTCAAAATTCCTGTGCTTAAAGCTGAGTGTAATGATAAAAAAAAAACAGTGATAGAGTTATACTCAACTGCAGCTTGGAGTGTTGCATGAATTCATTAACCATAAGAGGTAGAAATGATCAAGCAATTCAGGTTGGAGAGGACCTCTGGAGGTCTCTGGTCAAATACCCCTCTCAGAATCCCCCTCTCAGAGCAGGACCAGCTGATTCAGGTTGCCTGGGACCCTGGGCATCTGAGCTCCAGGATCTGCAGACTGAAAAGACCACAGACTCTCCGGCCCCCATTCTGATGTTTGACCACCTCCGTGGTGACCAGAGATCTGCTCTTCTCCACCTGGGCTGAGTCTTGCTCTGCCTGCTCCATACCTCCCCTGGAGGCAGCAGGGGAAAGTCTTCTGCGCTTGTGATTCGTCTAGCTTTGCTCCTCCGACTGTGGATTTCTGTCTTTGCTTGTGACTAAAGGGAAAAGAAATGACAATTTTCTAAGAATTTTGTCTGAAGGTTCCAGCCTTGTGAAACTAATGGTAAAATATTCTAAGTCTTAATCTTTACGTGCATTTTTTGCTTATAGTCTGCCAAATTCTGTTAGCTAGAGTGTGTCCAAAGTGTCACAGTACGTGGGAGAAAAGGCAGTGGAGTAACCTTGCTGACTGCTGCGTAGGACACTGACTTTTGGACAACATGGAGAGAAAAAATGGAATATCCACTCTAGAGGAAAGAAGGAGCATTTGAAGCTTTAGGTGAGAGCAGGTGTGGAATTAGAACAGAAGATTGGCAAGAAGTATTGTAGGTACACTGAAGAGACTCAGCTGAGATGTCGTGGAACATGCACATCACACTGCATTACTTCAAGCAGCACAGCCACGCTCAAGACAACAGAAGCCTAGGGTGGATGCAGTGGCATCTTTGGCATCCCTGCCCTGCTGCGAGAAGGAACAAAGCAAAGCTGGTGTTTTGCTGCTGTCCTGAGAGTTGTTGAGTCCTGATGGAGCAACAGGTTAAACATAACAAAGGGGTGGTTTACATACCACAGGCTTTCTAGCAAGGAGAGATCTCCCTGGGCCTGGGCTGGTGCTTATCGTGCTGCCTGTGTGATTGCTGCCTGGTGCTGCTGCACAGGTTCTCCAGATTCCCAGGCAGCGAGAATAAATTCACTCTTTGCATTTCAGCCGTGGTTTGTGATTGTTCCTGCGTCCTGCCTGTTTCAGCCCATACCGAGGGGCTATGAACAATCCCTTATTTCAATTAAATATTGTTTATAAACCTTGTTTACTCAGGAATAAATACCATAGTCCCACTAGCAAGCATGGTATTGTTTGTGACAACGAGTAATTGAGCTATTTTAACATGAGTGACTGCTCATCTTTGCTGTGGCACAGAGCAGCCTGGGGTTTGCTCTGCAGCAAGGAGGTGCTGCACAGGCAAGGAGGAGTTGTTGAAACTACTCCTCTTCCGCTTCCCCTGGCAGGCACGGATGTCTTAAAGAACAATATAAAAATTATTGGTACAATAGCTGGGGAAGACAACCCTGCAGCTCATGGTTTTGCTGGCAGTAGATGCCTTGCAAGCTCTCTCTGTAACATGAGCTCTGGTGGTCATGTACAGTTGGAAATGGCCATGGTTACTGGGATGCTGTTTGATCTTTTCTGCTTCTTGCAGCTGTTCTAGTAGACATGTATCTTTAGTTCTTTCATTAGCTGTGTCCTGGTCATGTTGCTTCATCGCCTTCAACTGAGTCATGTTTGAGGCAGAAAGAAATGGGCTCCTGTCTTCACAGCCTTGGCTGGTTGTGTCTCAGGACCTACACAAGGTCCTTGGAATAGCTCGTGCCGTGGGACTCTTAGACTAAATGTAGAGTTTCACTTCACATGGCTGAGTAGTTTACCATTTCTGAGAAATGACAAATCATCTCATTCTGGCTGTACTAGAGAGCTGGCTGTACTGGGGCATGAATCCACCTGGAGGCCAGCAGCACAAAAAGAGAGAGAGAGACTGCCTGAATCAGCAGTGACACCAAAGATGTCTGCCAATCCGCACCAGGAAGCCACATCTTCTTTCTGTTTGGTCCCTAGACTAACAGATTATAAAAAATATCTCCGTCTTTCTTTGAGCATTCCAGTCCTTGCCTTCTGTGTACTTCATTTATTTTGAAATCTCTTTTTTTTTTTTGCAAACTAATGAAAACAAGTTCTAGTAGAAATGAAAGTGTATGGAATGTCTTCTGATGTCAGGGCTTGTTTTCCCTCCAAACCAGCACTTTCTCTTGGAAATCATTTGTGAAATGTCAAACAATTAGGAACTTCCTTTCTTTTTCCTAGGAAGCCCTGATGTTGTCATCAAGGTCTGGTAATTCCCATTAGCACACGAATGCCACAGCGGGAGTGTGAAATAGACGTATCATTTTTATATTTCACAGCTCTAATGCACTCGTGTGTTTGGGTGTTTATGGATTCCCTGAACAATGTGCCATGTGTTGCCTCTAGCTTACATGTCTCTGTAATGTGGTTTTACTGGTTATTGGATTTCTAAAATCTTGTCATAAATGTAACCATTTTTACTTTTCTAACTAGTGAGCAGCATGTCTTAATACTTGGTCATGTATCTGTTCTGACAGAATTTCAGGTGTGTGGTAGCTAGTGAGTGGGAGCAAAGCGGATTTTTTTCACCTGGGAGAGTCTGTGAAGAAAAGCAAATTCTGAGAGAAGTAAGCATTGTCTTTTTGTGAAACATTATTTGGTTTTGTTAGTAGAACTGATGAATAAACTGTCAAAACTCTTGCTTTACCATGTAGTACCCTGAACAAGTAATTCCCCTAGGGGAGGAAGTATTAAAGCACAATTCTGGCATTTCAGAAGACCAGTGGAGTTTGCTGGGCTGCAGTGGAAATCTCTGAAATAGCCCGGTCTGGGTGATCCTTGCAGATTTTTAGCTGACAGCTTGAAAATGGCAACTTTGCAAAACTTTTCTTTTTAATGTGGTGTCCACGTCTCCATAGTTTTCAAGGGGTGCCAGGTCAGGTGTTTTGTTATGCCAGGAGCACATGTCAGGGAAGCGAGGTTGCTGGCAGAATGCCGCTTCACCAGGATGGTTTGCGCAGGTACACGGGCTGCGAGGAGGGAGGAAGATGGTTTCTGGGGTGAGATCTGAGGTGGCTGGAGCCCAACATCGCGGACGTGGCCCACAGCCAGATCTCTCCTTCCCATCCAAGCCCAAGTGCAGGAGACGATTTCAGGCTTTTTTCTAATCTTCTTTGCAGGAGCTGCCAGAATGCCCCTCACTGTGGAAAGTGCTTACAATGGCACAGACAGAAAAGGGAAAACTCCACCTCGGAAACCTTCACAGTGTGTAACAGTGAATGGAATGAAGAGTTGGTGGATGGCCAGTGCAGTACAGGTACGCTGCCTTGTTTCATCCCGCTGCTGTCCATGCAGGTGCTTGCAGGCCAGCATTTGGCTGTTACTGATCTGAGGCCAACATTAGCTTGCAGTCTAGAGATGGAGAGTTATGCATGCTTTTGCTAGTTGTTAGAAACACCTGCTCCCTCTTGGAAATAGAAGAGAGAGGGAACCTTCTTTATAGCTAATCATGCTGTTAGCTGCATCACTCTGGCTAACATCATCTCCAAAACTAGCAAAAGCTATCCCAGTTTAGTCTGGGAGGGCGAGAAAATTTGCAAGTAGTGTAAAATGGTGAAGTGCCAAGCAATCTGCATCATTCTTGTGTTCTTGAAGCGCCCACGCTACAACGTGCAAAATAACCTGCACTCAGGAGGCCAGTCCCTTTAAATCTGGTGCTGTTCCAGATCTGCAGTATGTGAAGCAGGTGGACTGTGTGTTTCCCGAATGTCATCTCTCTTGCCTTCTGCTGTTTCTACATAGATCCACAAAACTTTCCGTGACCTCCACAGGCACTTAAATAACATTCCCTGGGATGCATTCTGTTGCATCTTTCACAATGAAGGAATCCGTCCAGTTCTTGCTGGCTTGGCGATGAACAGCTTCCTGCCTCAACATGCCACAGACAGAAGACAACTCTTTCTCTTAAAAATGAGTTGTCAGTGGTACAGATTCACTGTGCCGTGTACGTAAGGAGTCTTCTTCAGAAAACGGGGTCACCAGTCATTTTTCATCCAGTACTGAATCATTCCTGAAGTCTGGGGAGTTGAGAGGATGCTTTAGCTGCTTTATGTCATTTGTGCAAAATTCTCTCCAAGGACAGAGATCTCCGTGGAGACCAGTGTCCTCTGGGATACTGATGGACTGGCTGGTGTAGCAGGACTGTAACTGACATTGCTCAGTCCAGGCTGGCCACAGGCTCTGACACAGCATGTAAGAAGGTTCGACAAAACAGTGGGTTCATGGGCACCCAGTGTTGAACGTTATTAACAGGGAATATTGCAGCAGAGTTCAATTACTCACTCTGGCCAAAACAGGACAACAACATGAGTAACTGCTTAGGTTGGATTCTTCAGTAGGAATTTGCCAGTTTGCCAGTTCCCAGCATGTACTGGACATGCTGGGGGAGTTTTCCTAGGAAGCTTTCATTTATTTGCTTATCCACCACATTTTCTTTTTTTTTTCTTTCCTGATCAAAACTGTATTAGAAATCTACACTGCATGGTATTTAAATGAGTAATGTGAGTGAAGTTTGAGGAGAAGTGCAGTCACTGGACAGTGACAGGAAAAAATAGCCCATTAAGCTGTAAGTAGTACCTGGCAATTTTCACCAAGAGAATTGTACCTGGAGAATATATTACTCAAAAATGATGTGGAGAATGTATCGATAATTTTCAGCTTGCAAGGAGGAGGCATGGCCAGGTTCTGTTTTGGCACATCAGACTGCCAATTTAACAGCTTGGCAAAGAAGTGTTTTTCATCTAAGATTTCTACAATAAATTAATCATTATGTTACACTGGTCTTGCACTCTATTGATCTCAGAAGAAGTAAGAGGTGCTCTAGGTGATTTTGGGAGAAGACTGTGCATTCTTTAAGAGTTACATATGCATCATGAGACATGTTTTGGATTATATCTGCCAGTTAAGTGTAGCTGTGCAAAACCTGCTTTGATTAGATGTGTCCTTTGGGCAAAGCACAAGGTTTGAAGGTTCAAGTCTCTGGCCTTCAGCTAATAGACTTTATCAGAGAATGTTACAGATCTCTATGTAAAAAGTTTTCTGTCACTTTGTCTTTCTTGAATAGGATTAACCACAACTTTAAAAACCTTCAAAACATGTATTTAGACCACATGTAAACCAGCCTTCTCAAATGCAAGAAACTGAAAACTCTTGCACTGCCTTGTTTTACAGATGTGGTCCAAATATGTCTAAAGCATAAATTTCTCTGTATAATGGTGCCATAAATAGCCATTAAAAGAATTAAGTATTTGGCCTGGGTAAATACATGAAGGCATAAAAGCATGAAATCATAAGATAATCACTTAGAATATTCAGACTCGTACATTTAAAATTCCAATGCATTCTGCCAGTCTTCACTACTATCTACAGAAATGAATCAGAATGTATTCTCAGATTCCTATTTGTTGCTCCTCCCAATCCTTGTAAGAAAATGGACATTTCTGTTCGGTAATTAAGGACAGAATTGTGTCCTAGAGCCAATGCTGCAGTGGAGGTCCAAATGGTTGTAGTATGTGGTGACGCGTAATACTGGTATTTGAAGGTATTTATGCATTTTTGTTGTCATATTGTATCAGATGTTCAAGACAAATACTGAATTAATTCTTCAAATATTATAGAATCACAGAATCATTAAGATTGGGAAAGACTTCTAAGATCATCAAGTCCAACCATCAACCCAATACTAACATGACCACTAAACTGTGTCCTGAAGTGACACATCTACACGTTTCTTGAACAACTCCAGGTGTGGTGAGTCCAGCACTTCCCTGGGCAACCTGTTCCAAAGCCTCACGACTCTTTCATAGAATCACAGAATCACAGAATCATAGAACAGTTTTGGTTGGAAGAGACCTTCAAGATCATTGAGTCCAACCTTTTCCTAGCCCTATCAACACCACTAAACCATGTCCCTCAGCACAACATCCCCCCGTCCCTCAAACACCTCCGGGGATGGCGACTCAACCACCTCCCTGGGCAGCCTGTTCCAATGGCTGACAACCCTCTCAGTAAAGAGTTTTTTCGTAATATCCAACCTGAACCTCCCCTGGTGCAACTTAAGGCCATTTCTCCTTGTTCTACCACCCACCGCTAGGCAGAAGAGACAAACCCCTGCCTCACTGCAGCCTCCTTTCAGGCAGTTGTAGAGTGATGAGGTCTCCCCTCAGCCTCCTCTTCTCCAGGCTAATCAGCCCCAGATCCCTCAGCTGTTTGCCGCATGACACATGCTCCAAATCCTTTACCAGCCTTGTAGCCCGCCTCCAGACCCTCTCCAGCACCTCAGTGGCCCAAAACTGGACATGCGTGAGGCCTCGCCAAAGCAAGTACAGGGGCATGATCACCACCCTACTCCTGCTGACAACACCATTCCTGACCTAGGCCAGGATGCTGTTGGCCTTCTTGGCCACCTGTGCACACTGCTGTCTCCTGTTCAGCCACTGTCCATCAACACTCCCAGGCCCTCTCTGCCTGGCAGCTCTCCAGCCACTCCTCCTCAAGCCTGTAGCGCTGCTGGGGGTTGTTGTGGCCAAAGTTCAGGACCTGGCATTTGGCCTTATTGAATTTCATGGAGTTGGCCTTGGCCCAGTGATCCAGCCTGTCTAGATCCCTCTGTAGAGCCTCCCTGCCCTCCAGCAGATCAACACTTCCCCCCAGCAACCGTACATACAACATTTTCTGTAAGAATGCAAACCTTTCGCCAGGTTATATGGTTATAACATAAGCTGTGATTCAGCTTAGGAGTGTTATACATGAGTGCTTGCTCCCTGGCAATTGGGGAGGTAAAGTGCCCAATGGATGCTCAGCTTGAGCTGTGTTTTCCTGAACACCTTCTACTTGGAACCAGTATGAGACAGACCGGGTAATGCACTTAAGGGTAACTAGGGTACATCCTTGGTGATCAAAGTAACCCTGCTTTTGACCTTTGCCCTTTCTTATTATTATACTATCCAAAGTGTGCTATTAATCTCATAAAAATTCATGGCTTTTCATGTCTCATTGCTTAAGCAAGGTATTCCACATGATGATTCACACGAGTTTTATTCTGTTCTGTGTTATGAAATAGTAAACCCTGAAAGCTAAGCCCCAAGATTAATGATAGCACAGGATCCTCAAGGGAGATTTTTCTCCAGAAGGATGATGTTACTTTCTCCAAAGGACGGTGAAACCGTGCAGTTCTGTTTCCCACATCTTTCCTGCAGATCTTCCAAGACTACTTTTGACGTTGCAAGTGGGTTCAAACAGGAGTTGGTTGTGTCTGTACTTTCCTGTCTGTGCTTACTTCCTTTTGTTTTTAGGCAGAAAGCTAATTAAAGCACTGGAATAATTACATAAACTAATTACAGGCTACATTTCACTCAAAGACTTACTTGGTTTTCCCCCAGAACACTGCTCTTTCAGTGCTCATCTGCCCTATTGACAAGAGTGCGTTCAAGCACAGAAAATGACAGGTCCAGGAGTCTTTAGAAAAAGCTAGATTTTGAAAAGAATATTTTGGCAGCCAGAGAACTAAAAGACAAAATGTGACATGAAAAATCCAGAGGCAGAAATTCCCACTGACTTCCTGGAGGTGCCCATACATCTGAAAGCATTTCTGGGCAGCCTAGCAAAAATCATCAGAGCACAAAATAAATCATGAACTTTTCTGAGGTGGTTCACATGGATCTTATTCCCTTAGGACATGGCTGATGCCATGACAATGCATGCTTAGGACTCTGAATTTTGTGTCTGTTGTGGGCTGAGCCTGGCCAAGAGCCAGACACTCACAGAGATGCTCGCTCACTCAGCCCTCTCCTATGGGACAGGGAGAAAATAAGAGGAAGCCAAGAAGACATATGGGTTGAGATAAAAGTAGTTTAACAGGTGAAGCAAAAGCTGTATGCACCAGGAAAGCAAAGAAGCGGTTTATCCCCTACTTCCCATTGGCAAATGGATGTTTAGCCACTTGCTGGAAAGCAGGGCTTCAGCTTATGTGACAGCTGCTTGTCAAGTGAAGGACAAAAGGCATAACAATGAGCGTTATTGTTTCCTCCTTCTCTCCTTGAGCTTTTAATGCAGCTCATTAACATTACATGGTATGGAATATCTCTATGGTCAATTCATTTCAGCTCTTCCAGCTGTGTTCCCTTCCAACTTCTTGCCCACAAGAGGGCAAGGTGGCATCCTGAGGAGCAGATAAAGCCTTGACACTGTGCAAGCACAATCAGAACATTAGCATGCTGTCAAGGCTGTTCTAGTAACCGTGAAGAAAATTAGCTCTGT